GGAGCACCCATCTTTACTTCACGCCATTCGACATCGCACTCAGATATTAATGAGGTTGTCTGTAAATAAATGGATTACGAATAATATTTATTGGAAAAAAAATCTTAAACACATTTGCCATTGTACATAAGCTTTATTGAGTGTTTTATTTGACTCTTAGTAGCGAAACACTTTTACTATACATACGTTTGACTTAGTTTTATTTGCAGTTGAATTTGTAGTCGATTAAGTTGACTAATGGACACTTGCTATCCTTGTCTGTCATTAAGAATCTAATAGTGTGTTGCGTAGTCAATATTTCTGACGCCTGTTGATAGTAGATGTCATTAGGTTAATTACGTTGTAGTTGTAAAAATATAGCGAATAGGTATACAAAAATAGAGATATAGACTTAATTTCTGACATCAGAATCTCTGTATAAAAAACATATCGTCATCCCTATCATTATATTTGAAAAAAACAGAGATAAGAATATTTTTTAAATGTGGATTTCAATCTCAGAAACCCACGGCTAGTCATGGTTTATTTAATCAGTACTCAAAGTAATGTTATATTCAATTTAATATCCAGTTACGATGATATCTTAGGATTGGCGCAGTTTATTGCTGCACTTGCAAACTTTCTTGGAAAAGCTCTTAGCGTAAAGTTGCTTGTTGATGTAAACTGGTGATCTTTTTCTTCTTGCTTTTACCTCGGTTAATTTTAAAATTATTGCTTTGTTCTTTTTTATTCTTTAGATTGATTTTCAGCTTGACAAGTTCAAGCTAGATGCATTCAGCTGTGTATATGGGAAAGAGAAATGATTTTTAGGGTTTTCTCGGCAATTATTCGAATTTTTCTCACCCTTAAACCTTCCCTAAACCTCCATGAACATTTCAAAACCGAGATAAGATAAATCAGTTCATCCAGTTTTAGGGAGACTAACGTACAGCAATTGATTTTTATACACATAGATAAAAGTAATAATTTATTTTATGAGTAATTTACTTTTCTTACCGAAGGATAAAGGCATGAAAGTAAACGTTTATTCCAAATAAATAAATAATAAATACGCATGTTTTCCTTCATGTTTTGACAAAATGATATTTAACGTTGATTTCCGCGTAATTTTATGTATATTTTCCTGTTGCATGCTTTTTTTTGTTAACGTGTGTTTAACATTACTCTTTATTAAGTCACCCTCGCCTGTCTTTGCGATTTTTATTGCTGACTCCACGAGGGCTTTGAACCCTCTTAACTCTTATTGTAGCATACATGTGTTTACTTTATCTTTAATACTAATAGTATCTTCTTAATTGTAATGATTATGTTATTGTAGTCGTACTGTAGTCGTGTTGTAATGATTATGTTATTGTAGTCGTACTGTAGTTGATGGTGTTTTTATGAAATTACTCGAATAATAATTATAATTTTTTTTAATAAACTTACTAAGCTCTTTAATGTTTTATTTTTATTTATATGATTCAATTTGCCACACCAGTCCACACTCAGTGTCTTTGTCTCCCTTAGTGATTGATTAGTGTATTAGAGTAGTGCAGTTAATGTCTATTTATAATATTACTAGCTTTCGCCCGCGACTCCGTGCGCGCGGATTTAAAAATTTAATTAGTGGCCTATTTGTTCTTCAAGATTATGATATATATGCGTGCCAAATATTATTAAAATCCGTTGAGTCGTTCCGGAGATACCTTCAAACAAACGTCCATTAATCTAAACTTTCATATTTTTAACATTAGTAAGATTAGATAGATATAAATGTGTAATCGATATATTCGTGTTAGAAATACCCTTGAATACAATATAGACCTTTTTGAACTGCGTAGGTCTGGGTGATATATCGGTCACCTGGTACTAGCAACCCTGTACTATGCGGCGTCGCCCCGCTGTCAAAGGGGCATTGACACTGATGGGGCGTGGCCCCACATATTTATCGTACACATACAGACAAAATCAATATACGATCCTTGTGATCAATCTGAGAATTTTTACTCGATTAGGATATAAATAGATAGTTTAGATCACTTAAATTTGAACTAAAAGAATTAAAATACTAAAGATAAGCAAACATGGTTCTGGATCGATTATTGAATTTGTCTGATAACAGTATCAGTTTATTGATAGTCAAAATTTAGATTTTTAGTCGTAAAATATAGTAAATATGTTACGTATTTATTTATATTGTGATTTGGTTTAAGGCAGGCATATGTATTTAAAAAGTAAACACGGGAAACCTTGATTTGAATCTGGCGTCTTGTCTCATATCGCGTACGACTAAGACTGCACGATCTAAAATAGATTATGATTGGGCAAGCTTTTTCATATACACGATGTAAACATATGCATACGAAACTATATACGACAGACGTGAACATATACGAAAATATCATTATTAATATAGTTTTCCAGTTTTTAAATAAATGAATGTGTTATTTTTATCTGTAGAATATACTAGTAAGAGAAAAAATTGATTACTACTACAGTAGTAATATTTTCTTTTCTTTATTGTATCAATTTCGATTAATGTCTTTGTTTTGCGATTTGTCTAGAACGAATTCTTTCACAATGAGTAATCTTATAGCCTTAATGTTATAATGTAAAGTTTCAGTAATTTTACTGAGAAATAAATATTGTTCCTTTAAAATATTTATATCGTCTTCTTGTAGAATCGTCTTGTACAATAGTGTTTGTTTTATACATTGAAATACAATTTTGGTTTTATATCTTATATGTTACTAATATTCTAAATGCGAAAGTTCAGATGGATGGATGGATGTTTGTTACAAGCTATATCCATAACAGCTCCATGAATCTCGCTCAAATTTAGCATGGATGTGGAACGAAGTCTGGAAAAGACGTATGCTACTAATCAAGTTTTTTTTTCGCTCCGCACGGAGTCGCGAGCGACAGCTAGTCCTTAATTAGGATGATTGGTCATAGGCTTAGTCATACAGAGACTCATGGTTCATGATAATACTTATGTGTCGGCGCCGCGTGATGAATCATCATGTTGCAGCAACGCGGTGATTGATTTCGTGAAATGCTCGGTGTTGATATCGATAAAATTTAAAAAATATTGTAAACTTAAACAGACTATATAAAGTACTGGAGTACTATGCCAATTACATAGCACTTCATTCTTCAATATAAGGTAATGAGGGCACAAAGGAAAGAACATATTGTACGTAACAGCTTATTATATTTGATTTTCAATGTGGATTAGTCAAATTTAAATCTTTTGACATAAATATTAATTAATATTTGGTTAAAGTATCGATATTGTTTGGGCATCCCTAGTTGAGGTTTGGCGCGGTTTCGGAGCTACAGTCGCGTGCGATGCGCGCGGCCTTGCTGCAACAAACAGATATGTTTACCAATACATTATGTAGGTCGTGGTTGTTGTTGTAAATGTATTACTATAAGGAATATTTCGATTAAATGCTATTTTAATAAATAAGAAAGTATATGTTTAAGTTCGAATCGGCTTTAATGGCACGAGAAAAAGTTCCACTAAAAGTTTCACACGTTTATAGTGTAAAGGAAGGTATCTTTCCAATGTCATGAAACTAGTAATTAAACGATTAAACGTCTGGTACTTCTCCAGTGAGCTTCATGATACATCGAGACGTCGAGCAGTGCGCATGTGTGTACAATTTACACGTGTTTTTAATGCGTTGCCGCTCGCCTTGTTTATTGCCAATTAGACGAAGTATGTGAAATATAAATAGGTTATGACGTTACTGGTGATAAGAAAAACAAGCCCATTTATCGCGCTTTAATTTGACCGTTCGCTAGTTGGCAGGCGATGAAACGTTTTTTTTAAATACTGTAATAATTTTATAGCATAGATATTTATTGTTTCTTATAATAACATGTTTATAGAAATTATTGTTAAAAAAATAAGGTTTCCTGAGATTTTGTTTGATAGAGATTTCTTTTTTTTATTTAATGAATTAGTCACCTCATTACAGAACTCGATGAACGTTTATTAAAAAGACGATAAAACTAACACAATGTTGTTGAAGTTAGTAATTTCGTAATTCAATATCAAAACATTTCTTTACTATTTAACCTATATAGTAAAATTTCCATTGTGTATTCAGTGAAGCAACGTAATATTTAGACTAGAAGCAGAAGTTCCAATTAGTGTTGTACTGCATTACATCATAGAGCGATAATTTCCACACCCACGTTGCACGTCACGTTATTACACTAGTCTGTGGACGGCAAATACCTCATGTGAATCGTGAATGTTTGACGTGGAAACCTAACTCGCCGCCAGGGAATGCTCCGTTCACACTAACGTACGAAAGCGAAATGGAACCGAAACACATGAATGAATTCCGCTTCGTAATCGCACAGTGTGTCTGTGATTTGGCCAAACAAAATAATCTCATGTTAATTCATTTTAAACAGGGGGTTTGGTTAAGGGTCTTAGAAAGATGATGTTTAGAATTCTGCTAACATCGAACTTGTGAAACTAAAGTGGATTCGCTTGAGTTGCGTTTGCGTACATTTGTCTATTCGTAGAGTTTTGTTTCATTTCGTATGCGATACTGATTTGCGCCAGTGTACCAGGGGCGCGTGAAAACCGCGCTCGCCGCTCGGGACTTAACGAATCTCCCATTCGCTACTATTACAGCTGCAGAACAAAGTTTATATGAATATGCGCTTTCATTTCATGTTTTTTTTGTACGAGAGAACAAAGAGAAGGTATTATTTTGTACTCTGATACCGTTGTTTTTACTGTCATACATAAATATGCGAGTACTGTGTGATTAATAATTGTGTAGTTATTCAGATGAAGTTGCTATGTGTGTTTGAATTAAATAAAATTTTATTAAGATTGATTTTACCAATGTCTAAGCTAAAGGAATAAAGTTTAAGCCCACATCAGTATATGGTCCTTCAAGCACAAAATTTATCGGCATGTGTCTTTATGTCATGAGTTAAATAAAATTGTATCTTAAGTGGTCTGTTTTAAGTATTCCATTTGTTTGTAGGTCGTGGGCAACCGGGACCGCGTGAGCCAGCAGATCCAGATCAAACTAGGCGACTATCAGATCGCACAGACGCTGCTCGACGACCCCAGCAAGTCCATCGGTATCTGTGCTGAGCCCCCCAGCCCCGCGCCATGTGAGTACACAATGCAAAATATAATGTAACTCTCAGCTCCCGTTACTTAAACGGGGGATAGTCTTTATTTAGGAAGAGTTTGCCATACAGTTTGCTATTTGGTTTTTACTTTTTATCCTAGAAAAATGTACGGTCTGCGGAGCATCGAGCTGTATTTTTTTCATATTACAAAAATGTTTCCTATCTTTCTACAACAGGTAGTAATAAAAAAGTATAGTTATGTTGCCTTTAAAATGTCTGATAAATTTAACCCAAAATTTAGTTAACCGCAAAATAAAATGTAGTCTTCTGATTAAGTTATTTTAAAACGTTAAAATTTTGTCGAATGATATAATTCTTTTTGGACTAAAACGTTACGAAAGTTGTTAATTTAACAAGATTCCACTTCGTTTTATTGCATAAAATTTTCGGTTCGCCTCTCAAAATTTAATAGGACGTCTCTTATGGACACGTTTTAATTAAAATATCTTTGGAACGTATATAATTTTAAATATTAATTTTGGTTGTTATTTAATCTTTTATTTACATGTAAAATAGGTAAAATAGTCTATCAACATGTTATAGTATCGTAATATCTTGTTGCATTTTTGTGATGACGTAAGTCCTTTTTTATGAAAAATATTTTAACACAGAAATGACTTATTAACATACTCTGTAAATTACGTAATAAACCAAAATGGAAAATAAATATTTGTGATTAACACAAATCGTTTTTCCAATGGAAAACCCGATGCTGTGTGTTTGTGGTTTACACTACAATGTTATCTGACCCGCTGAGAGAAGCGCTGCTATCGCGGTTAATTTTGTTGAAATATATGATCCAAGAAAATTGCTTAAAAGAAAAAAATATGACTATATAATATGACAATGATTTTGTTATATGGCTGGAAGAGCGTTACTAAGTTAATAATTTAGAACTTATTCCTACCGGGTTAGATATCCTTGTCGGTAATAATCCGACAAAGATGGTGTGACATATTTTTGACATTTTCAATTATGCTCGTCGTGTTAGATAAGTTTGTATGTCTGTGTGTACGGTGTTTGAAAATCTTAAGACTTATGGCGCATCCTATGAAGGAGTTATTCTATGTAGGAGTTACGTTATATAGCCGCTTTTTGATTAGTTTACGATAGTTTTGACTAAAAATATGTATCTAATACGCTATGCGCTTAAAGTTTACGTAATAGCTAAGCGATCAGTATCTTTTCTTTTGAAAGCAATGATTAAGTTAAGGTCATTAATTTGCTGTTTATAATGAATTATTAGATTTCCTTATACTTGAAAATATCAACATTCTATTATTTGTTTTAATATTCAAGTAAAACCATTCAAATATGCCTGTATAGTGAATTTGTCATGATTTCTTTGTTTTTTTTTTCTACTATAAATGTTAAGTAAACGAGTAAATCGTTGGCCTACGTGCCAATATACATGTATCGATACGGCAATCCGTTTGATCGTGTCTCAAATAACGGACATTCCATTCTCAAAGGGTTCCCAAGATTCTTCGACTCGTTCGAGTATAAATTCGATTTAATTTTGTTCGGATTTACCCGTGCCGACTGAGATAGAGATAGTTGTGTGAGAGAGAAGACATTACTCATTGAGCCCTTAGAGGGTGCTTCATAAATACAAATTAGACTGCATGATAGATTTATATTCAAACTACCTATCGCCCGCGACTCCGTCCGCGTGGATATATAAAAAACTTAATTAGTGTAGCCCGCCAATCCACATCACATCCATCTAAACATTTGCATTTATAATATTAGTAAGTTAAATAAAAAGCAGCTCTTCAAGGCATAATTCGAAAAAAATTGAATAAATAGTATCGTATGTCCGTCTCCTGGCTCTAAGCTAACCTCCTCACCAAGTTTCAGCCATATCGATATAGCCGTTCTGGACTTATAAATAGTGTAACTAACACGACTTTCTTTTATATATATATATAGGTGTGTAGTTATAATAATGGAAGTTTGAGATTTTGTTTTAATTACATTAGTTAAAGGATAAGTTTCCACGACTTTATGCCATAAAAGCGGTATCAGAAATAAATCTAATCCATGTTTTGTTGATCCACTAAGTGAGTTTTACCGTAGGTTTACACTGTTTTCAAAGTATTATAGAAACATATTGCTATAATTTTTTTGCAGTGGAATTTGACTGTTATATATTTGAATGAATGTATTCAATGCAAAAGCTTTTTATTTGATTGGAAAACCAAAGTTCCATTTTAAATCCGCCTCGTAATAGGATTACATTTGTAGAAGTTTCTTGAGTTTATTATTCACGTAATAGCGGCGAGAGTATAGATTTCAGGTGGAGTCGAAAATAAAAGCGAGGTTTTATGTGGCGAAGCGAACTTTTTTTATTTGTTTGCGGATTATGCGAGGAACGGATAATTTCGACGGGGCATTAACATAACAAAAGCGGCTAAGTTATTTGATTCACAAGCGCTCGGGGCGGTGTGGCGTAGCTTCAATTTCTTCAGGTGTCTAAAGGCCCCCGATATTTCTTTGCAATGTCTGTGTTTTAACAATTTCGTTATTCGTATTGTTAGGAAGAAAATCCGACACTGTGCCGGTGTATCGGCTCAACAGCCTTAATAAAATGTCAACGTTTATGTCACCTCCGTAATCAGTCTGGCACTTGATTTGGTAACGAAAGCCTGCCTTTCGCGCCAAAGGATTCTAATAATGTTTAAAAGTAAAAAGTTTTTAATTCCACACCTTACTGGTGTACCAAATTCCCCTTGCAAACCCCTTACAAGTAAAATCATATAGTAAAAATTCTTGAGCTTAATACCTAACATTCATACATGATCTATTCATTGATTACTCTTTGTCCGTATATAATTCAACGTTAGGATATTTCGTCAATCAAATCGTTTACACTGAAGCTTCAAAGTAAAGTGGTTAATGCCATTATTGTAACTGGAAAAGCGGAGAGCGCTGCAAACAAGCAGTCCGAGGTAATATAATTTGAGGGAGCTCGTGCCGAGTTTTTTACCCGCGCCCAGTTTATCGTGTCCCACCCACCGGCACCGTGGTCGTGGCTGTCAATTGATTAGAGTTGAGACAATATCGATGTTTTATTGTAAGTATCGATATTTTACGATATCGATTAGTTTTTACCTGTATCAAATAATTATCGAGAAATAGGTATTGTGTAGAAATGTTGATTTAAAGATTACTTGTGACTTTGTGTGTATTCACACCAATACGTACAAATCTGATGTTTTTTTAACTTATAATAATTTTATGTGATTCCTTATTGAAGTTGGGAGAATAATTTTATTTTAAAGTTTTAGACATTATTAGTTAGAATCCTTTGGTGCAAATGCTTTCGTTACAAAGTCCAGTGTCGGAATGAATAGTGAGGGGACATAAACATCGACATTTTAGTAAAGCTAGTGTTGCGCCATTATATCGGCACAGTGTCGGATTTTCTTCCTAACAAAAGAGTACAATAACTAAGCTTTGCGTCTTTTTTCTATTCATTTTATTCAAAGAAACGTTTAACAAAAGTGACTGTAATACAGTTACAGATAGGTCGCCGGCGTATACCGCCATAAAGCGCTACCCCTATAAAAAACTGGTAGTTAATATATCCAACACAGAGTAAATAATTGTAAGACACGCCGTTAAGAGGCTACTGACTCTTTATGATTATTCACTTGTGCGAGTAGAGCCTTAATTAAAATAGCCTTAGTGATTGTCTATCTAGATCCAGATGTTTGATAAAATAGCTATTGTATTTCCTTAAAGCTATATTGTGTTTGTAGTTAACGTAGGTTGTCACTGTCGAAACAAAAACATATTACCATCTTTCTCTTTCACAATGGCAATAATAAAATCGAAATAAAAATTAATTTGATTCGGTAGTCTATCTTAAATGAGTTCCTAACCTAACCAAGACTTTCCAGTATGACGTTCGAAACACTTTTTTATTTTTTAAACTAGTCGATGCTCGCGATTCGGTCCGCGTGGAATTTAAACAAAAAACTTAATTAGTAGCCTATGTGTTCTTCCAGACTATGTTCTACATCTTTGCTAAATTTCAGCGGCATACGTTTAGCTATTCTGAAGATACCTTCAAACAAACAAACATCCATCCAATCATTCGCATTTATAATATTAGTTATCTGTGTCTGTTTTTAATCTCTTTATAGTAATGTATAAAAGTTACTGGTTTGTTTTTAAATCTTATATAATCGTTTATTAGTCCGTTCTGAATTCCCATTAGGAAGTAATCCTTTAAAAGTTTAAATGATTGCCCAAAGCTAGCTTTTAGCGGAGGGTTAATCCTGTAAGTAGACGATGCGTGGTCAACAAATAGGTCTGCGAACTTTGCGGCCTCACCGCTATCTCAGTAACGTCCGAATGAAATAGATAGTATGTAAGATTAACATGTATGTTTGTTAATTGCTGATTAAAGCTTTAAATATTTATATTATAACTTAATACATCTTACCGTGGGTTTCTGATACCAACATTTCCGTTCAAAGCATATTGTTATCTCTGCTTTGACAAAAATGTATGACGATTTGTTTTATAGAGATTTTGGTCTCAGAAATTAAATATTACTGATTTTTTTAATTAATAGCGCTATTAATATTGCATTAACTTTTATATGGAAGGATAATTTTTGTTCTAATGTCGTTTTTATAAACAATTCCTTGATATGTAGATCGAATGTTGAGAGCGTCGGTGGCTCAGGGGCCAAGCACTTGACTTGCAATCTGCAGGTCCTGGGTTCGAATCCCGTCATATACCAATGTGTTTTTCGATTTCCGATTTACATATGTACATTTATTCGACGTTCTTACGGTGAAGGAAAACATCATGATCATGGGCCTAATCACCATTAACTTAGGGTAGGCTCCGAGCCCCTCGGTGGGGACGTATAGTGAGCTGATGATGATAGATCGAATAGGCCTGTATCTCAGAGTAGTGTTGCCGCATCACTTCACAATGATAAAGCGACCTCCATCATTGGC